CCGTCCCCGAAATGTTTGCCGCACGGCTCTTCATCATCTGTATTTATATGGCTCCCGTCTGCTATTCTCTTCCTGGCATCTCCTCTGCATCTCTCCGGGAGTCTTTGTTCTCTGCTCTCCCCGTCCCGCATCCCCAACGGCACGGAGTGAATAGACTGCCGGCTGAGAGCCAACATTTTACAACGTTTGGATTTGGGGACATAAACATTTAGATGACATGGTATTTGATGCGCTTGTTTGCAATATGTGGGGTTGTTGGCTTTGATCGTCTCCCAGCCAATTGTAACATAACATTATCCACATGTTGATGCTATTTTCCCCTCTCTGTTCATAACCGTAATTGTCTTAGTGCACATCAGCATATCTATAGCTCTACGGAATTGTCCTTACTGGGGTGCCAATCACAGGGAGATGCTGAAGGTCGACTAATTATTTCCCACCTAACCAATGGGTGCCTTTTCTTTCATATTTCCATAAACGCCTTTCATGCAACCAACATCTCCACACAGATACTTCTGTGAAATAATGAAGGGAATGTGATGAGAGACCATGCAATTTAACGAATGGAACTGTCATGGGCATTGCTCAGTCACCAGGAGAGGAAGGGACTCAATTTCGGAGCGGGGAGGGGCAGCTTTAATGTAACTAATGAACTAACTGGCAATGGGGAAAGGCTGTTACTGAACGGAAACAAAAAGAATATCTGAAGACTGCATGCTTGTAGTATCATTTAGGAAAATCAAGATGGATATTTTATATTTTATGCACTGAATAAAGGACAGCTTGTCTGACTGGAGAATATCTGCCTTCTTTATTTTCAGGAGAACAGGGAGGCCTGGGGAATTGCTGAATGCAGAAATCCATCAAAAATGCAAAGTTCCATCAACCTCCATCCCTTTTTGAAATCCAATCAAGGAGAAGCATTTGACATCCCTTGGAATGCAATGGGAGAGTGGGAGTCAGCCCACTGAACTCTTTCCCAGTGAAACCAGTGGCCCACCAGGGTCTGGAGCTGCAAACCAAAGTGGCAAGCTGCACATCGTCTTTCATTTCGCCTCACCTGTTCGTTAGAACACAGACATTTGTCTCACATCGTCATCCCAGCCAGTCCTCTGCAGGAACAGATGGCCAAGGCATTTCAGGTTGCTTTTGATGAGAACGTAGTGGCCTCCTCTCAGATAATGCAGGATAAGACTACCATTCCTGATGTCTTCAGTAGCAGAGCCAGGATACCAACGTATAGCAGCTGCTGGGTGAGAGGGTGCTATTGTGCATGTTCTGCTTGTGGAATCCTGTGGGCCTCTGGTTGGCCACCAGGTGAACGACATGCTGGGCTTTGCTGAAGCTGAAGCTCAGATACTTTGGCCACCTAATGAGAAGGATGTACTCATTGGAGAAGATCCTGCAGCTGGGAACGACTGAAGGCAAAAGGAGGACTGGGTGGCAGAGGTGGAGGTGGCTGGATGGAGTTTCTGGGGAGGTGGATGTGGGGCTGGGTGGACTCTGGGGGATGGTGGAGGATGGGAGGATCTGGAGGAATGTTGTCCATGGGGTTGCAAAGAGTTAGGCATGACTTTGTGACTGGACAACAACAAAGCATGCCACCTCTCACGTTATCCAGGTCTAGGACTTTGAACATGTAGCCTTCGAGTCTGCATTTGCATTTCTGGACATTCAGCCTTCCGAGTACTGATTTAGGGTTCTCTCTCTCTACCCCTGACAAGTCTCCCCAGCTTAACAGTTCCACTGAAGACAAATGCATAATGGAGTCCACCATTCTGGGAATCACTGTACCTCTTGAACCTGGCCAGTCTAGATGGGTGAGGAAAAGCCCATTTTTGCTCACGACTTGCCAACACGCACCAAGTTCATATTCAAAAATGAAAGGACTTCATCTGATGGTGAAGAAGAGCAGGGGATCACCCAGATTGGCCTGTCTCACTACCATCTGCTTCAACGGTCAATGTCCTCCATGATCCTTCCCAGCCACACCGACCGAAGCTGTTGGAAGCTGAATTTGGACCTTCTGCATGTGGTCAGTCATTTGGTTCCCCCCTCCTTAGTTTACCCCTCCAAATCAGCTTCTGTTGATTCATACACTCTCCTTGGACATAAATCCCACTGGTTTCTCAACGTGAACCTGCAAAAGACGGCGGACTCCTCATGCCCTGCAGGTACATTCCTCCACTACCCATGCAGTTCTAAGCACCAGAGATAAGCACCACCATAAACTTAGCTTCATTAGAGAATGATTCCCCCATATAATTCCCATCAGCTGAATTAAGGCTCTTGTATACATTAAATCATGCCTAGTTCTCATCTCTACTTCCACCTGGCATTTCTCCCCTGCTGAAACTGGCTCACAACAGACAGTTCATTGAATGTTTATGCTCTTCTAACAGGGTTGATAACGTCACAATTCTTGCCGCACTAATAATACTCCCCAATCCACCCCGAAACAATTAGCGTAATCCAATTAGAGAGACCCAGGACTGTCTTGCTTAATCCAATCTTGTGATTTATTGTGCAGTCCAACCACTGAGTTCATTCGCAGTTTAAACTCTGCATGGAAATGGAGAGGCAGAGATGTTTTCCTGGGCTTTTGTGGGTTGTGTTTGACGATGGGGTATGAGGAAGCCGTAAGAAATTATTACGGTGTGTCTCAGGGCAAGACGTGCTTCAAAAGAGGGAGAGAAAGAAATCTGCAAAGGATTCAGGGAGGCAGTGCAGGGATTACGGTGAAAGAAAACATTTTTAAAGGTCTTCCCCCTTCTTCCTCCCAACAGACAACCCTGGAGACACTCAGCATCCCTGGTACAGGTGCCAACACTCCCGGGCTGAATGGGCACCGGGGTGGATGCCAACATTGGCCACTTGGCACCCAGCCTCTTCTCCTGAAGCCCTGCAGCCTCCCAAGTGGCTTTTCAGTGGTACTCGCTGGAGGAGACTCCATCAGCTGCAGCAGGGCAGCCAGCACCATCCTGCAAGAGAAGGTGCTCCTGCTTCCAGGCAGAAAGAACCAGGGGTGTTCCTTGTGAGCTAGAAGAATGTACAATGCTTTTCTATGTGGCTTAGGACCTGGGTACCTGAAGGACCACCTGCTCCCTATATACCTGTTCTGTTTAGTCGCAAAGTCATGTCTGACCCATGACATCCCCATGGATGACTTCCTCAGGCTCTCCTGTCCTCCACCATCCCCCAGAGTCCACCCAAGCCCACCCTGACCACCCAGTGACCCCATCCAGCCACCTCACCCTCTGCCATCCCCTTCTCCTTTTGCTGTCAATCAGCCCCAGCATCAAGGTCTTCTCCAGTGAGTCCTTCCTTCTCATTAGGTGGTCATTTATACCTACCCATCCATTAAGATCTGGGCAGGAGGTACTTCTAAAGGAGCTGTCCCTTGAGGAGATAAGGGGGACTGTAAATAGAATCAGGGCCTTCTCAGTGGCTGCCCCTCAACTATGGAACAGGCTCCCCAAGGAAATTCACCTGGCACCAACCTGGTCTTTGTTTTGGCACCAGGTGAAGATGTTTCTTTGTTCTGAATACTTCCAAGAACAGTCTTAAAATTGACTATTCTGACATCTATTTTGCTTACCAAGTGTAATTGTGATGTGTGTGTGTGTGAGAGAGAGAGAGAGAGAGAGAGAGAGAGAGAGAGAGATGACACAGAGAGAGAGATTTTAATGGTTTTATTCTTGTTTTTTAGCATTTTGTTGCAAGCAGCCTAGGGAATCCATCCAGATTAGTGGGTGGCATACAAATCCAAAAATAAACAAAGAAATGCATGCGTTGGACTCTGCTGCCTCTCAGGTCTGACTCCTCCTGCTGCACCTCTCCCGCCTCAGTGGCAGAGGCACCCAGGAAGTTTCTCCCTTGGGGGACAAAAAGGAGAGAAGGACCTTCTTCAAAAGGCCCCTGATCTTGTCAGCGGGATGCTGTCCACTCCCTGGTCCTGATGCACAGACCTCTGCTTTGCATTGCAGCTGATGGCGCCCTTCCACTTCCCCAAACACCCTAACAGAACTCCAATGAGCAGGGCTAGCAGAACATGGGCTAGCAGAACCACCACAGCTGTGCAGGCCTCCTGGAGGACCATGCCTCGGGGTGGCCAAAGGCGTGGCAGCTGGCCCCATACCCCTGCTACTGCAGAGGAGGACTTCTTGCCTCCAACACCCCGTGCAAACACACTTCCACAATCACGCACCGCACAAGAGTCATCCCGACCATTTCCTTCTAGTTCCATCCCTAAAGCACCACGACCAGGCGTAGGAAGGAGAGCCCTGGTAAAGTCATTTGCCAATTGATACCTACGGCGGCCAATTACAAAAGCACACCTGCTTCTACCTGCTGCCATCTCTCTTCTTCATATTTGATGGGGACGGGCGCAATAACGTGCCATGTTTGGAATGGCGGAACGGCATCATTCCGGGAACTCAAATGCAGTTCCCAGAGCCCTACTGACTCTTTCCACTGCACGGCTGCTCGCCTGCTACAGTTGTGCAATGACAGCAGCACATGCAGGAAGTCCCAGTGGCCATGTAATGGATTGCACAATGGGGTGCATAAGAGTTATGCACAACTGGGCGCCCAGTGGGTTGCACAAGTACAACCCACAACCCCATGAGCACAAATACCACTTTGCTTGGATTCCCCTCTTGTGCTTGGCTTGCACCCTGGCTTTGGCCAGTGCAACATCATGAGAAGAAGGACACGGATGGACACTACCAGCCAAGAGTCTAAATCAACGGACTCCAGATTTCTCACCAAGCTTTCGGAAGAACCTGCTTCAGTGCAGAGGACCCCCTGACGTGCTCTAGACAGAGCCTGGATCTCTCCAAAACAGCCCACCCTAATTCCAAGTTTGGGACTGATCCAGGTCAAGTGCACCTCTGTACTACATCCAACGTTTGCTGGGATTTTCTCTCTCATCATTGTATCTGGGCTGAGACAATGGCTGCTGAGACACTTCCGGCTTTCCTGCAAGGACAGCGACTGACCTCGATCTGCTGGATGGCTTCCTCCCGCTGGCGGATGGCTTCCAGGTCCTCCTCTGTGATTTCAGACAGCAGCGCATGTTCCTGGTTCTGCTCCAACCACACGCTGTCACCCCCATTGAAGATCTTCTCGTCATCGGCCAGATCAGCAAAGGGAGTCCTCGGACTTTGCTGAGACAGAAAAATGCATTATCATTAGCAATAGCATCATCAATATTATTGATATTATACTGAGCAATAGCCAAAACTATCAGGGCACGTTGCAACAGCCAGTAATACACAATTACAATGCACAATGAAATATAGGTAACGATAACATGGCATGAAAATGCACTATGATATTTTAAAAGCCACATCTAAAACTGAACTTAAACAACTACAGGAGCAAGCACAGGGTAAAGCAATGAGAAATGCTGAAGAGGTAACACAGCACCCCAGTGATTCAAAGCTGTCTTAACACGGCAACTAATTGTTTTAATGTATTTTGTATTCGATGTTGTAAGCCGCCCCGAGGCCTTGGCAAGGGGCGGCATAGAAATGTTTTAATAAATAAAAATAAAATAAATAAACTAAAGGATAGAAGAGATGGTGCCCAGGCAGGCCTCAGTGGAAGCCTGACCCATCCCTGGGGGCCACAACTGAGAAGGCCCTCCTCCTTGGTGCTACCTACTGAACTTCCCTCAGGAGGTGGCAGCCCTCTGGTCTTGAAGATGGTCTCTGGGTAGATTTGGGCTGAGAGATGCATTATGTCCAGTACTCTGGCCCAAAGCTACTTATGACTTTATAGCTTAGAACCAGTGTCTGAGAATAGGCTCAGATGCATTTAGACCGCCAGTGCAACTGGGCCAGAATTGCTCTTTCCTGTTTGGACCTTGTCATTCGTCTACCTGCTGCATTTTGCATAAGCTGCAGCTCTGAGCACTTTTCGAGGGCAGCTCTGCTTAGTGTGCCTTCCCACAATCTAGTTTAGAGATGACCAGCTCATTAATTGAGGGTGCTATGAACTGGGGTTCCTCCTTCATGCATTCGAAAGCCACAGACCGTTTTCCTTGCAAACATCCTTTATTGACCCAAAAGCACAAAACACACAGAATGGATCTCTGGGCATGCACAGAGTCGTTTGTTGAACCCAGCTGAGTGTTCATCTCCAGCAACTCTCCTTATGAGCACGCCTGGGCCCCATCCATTTGGGGAGGGGGGCGGGCTTCACAATGCGAGTCTGCCTGCTCTCTGCACACCAACCCTCTAATCGGGCTCCCTCCTCTGCTGGGGATGCATCACGAGGACAAGAACCATGCCTGCCTTGTTTGAGTCTGCACAACTCCCCTGCTCCGAGTCCCCTGCTGCCAACTGTACACCTTAGTTGCCCCCAGAGGCTGGCTGCCCACCTGGGGAGTCTGCCCCCGAGATGAGCATCTTCAGCTCTCTCGCGTCAGTGTCTCAGGATGGCCCACATTCCCAGGCATCCCATAACTCTCCTTCACATTCCGACCCCAATTCCTCTGCAGCCCAGCCAGCAGGCTTCGCAAACAAGCACCCAAAGCAGCCATCTTGCTCTCTTCCAATGGGGGGGGGGGGGGGGGGCAGAGGGTTATTCTGTCCCCACACACGGTCATTTCGTCTTCTTTCTAAGGCAAGAAAGGGCTGCTGCACATGCAGAATGAGGAAAGGAGGGCTTGCTAAGGAAACCTGGCATTCAATGGTGCTCAATGTGGGTAAGTGCGAGGTCTTGCACTTGGGGCAAAGGAATGGGTGTCCTAAGCACAGGTTAGGGGACAAGTGGCTGGAGAGCAGCACTTGTGAAAGGGACGTTGGGGTACTGGTCGACTGCAGGCTCAACATGAGCCAGCAGTGTGATGCGGTGGCCAAGAAGGCGAACGCCACCCTTGGCTGCATAGCCAGAAGTGTGGCTTCTAGATCAAGAGAGGCATTACTACCACTCTGTACAACTCTGGTCCGCCCGCAACTGGTGTATTGGGCTCAGTTTTGGGCCCCTCATTACAGGAAGGATATAGCCAGGTTAGAGTCAGTGCAGCGTAGGGCCACAAGGCTGGTGGCCGGTTTGCAGGAGATGGGGTATGAGGCGAGACTGAGGGAACTGGGTCTCTTCAGCCTGGAGAAGAGGAGACTCAGAGGGGATCTGTTGGCGACATACAGGTATGTGAGGGGGTGTCACACGGAGGTGGGTAGGGACCTGTTCTCCCCTGCAGGGGAAGGCAGGACGCGCTCCAATCGAGAAAAGCTCAGGGAACCAAGGTTCAATTTGGATGCCAGGAAGTACTTCCTGACAGTTAGGACCCAAGGGTGTGGAATGGGCTTCCCCGGGAGGTGGTTGAGGCCCCATGGGTGAGGGTGTTCAAGGATAGGCTGGACATGCACATGGTGGGCATGTCATGAGTGGAGCCGGCTGGAGCCAGGGGTCAGACTAGATGGCCTGGGAGACCCCTTCTGGCCTGCTCCATTTCTATGTTTCTAAAACTGGAAAGCATAACTCATTCACTTCTGCTGCATCAAAAACCACTGCATACATATCAGGTGGGCATGTTTGGAGTAGACCCATTAAAATCCATGGAACAAGATATGAATGGGCAAATTAAGCACTGAGATGGCTTGCCCAGCTATGCATGTATAAAGTCTTCTATTGTGCCTGATCATGGAAAACTTAATGATATAATGATCATGTACATTTCAATACTGAAAACAATTCTGATGCTTTAGCAGGTTTTGTCGTACTTTTCTGTCACTGAGGTGCTGCAGTTCATGAAGGGTAGGAGTCTGCCTTTATGGGAGCAAAGGAATGCTGAAAATGGCTATTGTTCTAATAGGTCATCTGCAGGTGTCCCGAATATGAGTTTTCAATTCACCCTTAAGACTGAATCACAGAAGAAGAAGAAAGGAAAACCCTGGAACGACAGGACAGAACAAAGAAAGGGGAAAGGAATGCAAAATGTATGTTTGAAAGTGAAATTCTGCTTTGCTGAACAATTCTGCTTTGTTTGAAAATGTGGCTCCGCTAAATGCTCCTCCGATCCTTGTGTGTGCATACGGAATTTTTGTGTAGGTTGCTTTCCGCTTTGAATATTTTCCACAAAAATTGGGTAGAAGGCTTGAAGTGCATTGTTTGGAATGCACAAGCTGGGTTGGGAGGAAGGCGTGTGTAGGAACCGAAGATCACGACAAAAACCCCAAGGAGCTGGCCTAGCATCCCCAACTCAGGGCTGCACTTCAGCGTGGCTTCTGCTCCTCACGTGGAGGGAGGGGAGGTTTCCACAAGAAGAGCTCCCCGTTTTTCAATCAAATGCTGCAGGAGCCACATAACCCCATTCGCAAAGTTCCAAGGTGCTTGGAACAGAGTTTGTTTGGCCCTTGGGGTGGGCGCAGCTGCAGCGCACCCATGAATATCTCCATCTCTGTTGCATGGGCTGGGTGGTGGAAGAGAGGGTAGTGGGAGAGAGAGAGCACAGCATTGTTTCTGCTTCTCAGACAAAAATAGAAAGAAAGTGGGAGCATCATTGTTTTCTGCCCAGGTTGCTGCACCGTGAGGTGACTTGGGAAGAACACATTAAAAACTGGACTGCATTTTCCAATGCACAATTCATTTTTTGAAGGCCCCGTCAGTGCAAGGGTACAGAGGGACAAGAGCTTCAGTCCTGCTCATTCCACATCAGAATTTGCCCCATTTGCCCCAATTTGCCCCAATTTGGGGGCAGGGCAAAATTTGTGTTCCAGAACTTATTTCTTGCCTTCGCTCCAGGAGACATCTGGGTAAATGGCAAGAACATAAACATGTGCATGCATGGAGAAGAACGCTGGGTGCTGGTGATCCAAAGAGCAGGCAATGCCCCAGCAGAAAATTCCATATCATCTGTGCTTGCTTGCTTTCTTCAGAAGCGGGGAGAGACCTGTTCTCCCCTGCAGAGGAAGGCAGGATGTGCTCCAACAGAGCCAAGCTCAGGGAGCCAAGGTTCCATTTGGATGCCAGGAAGCACTTCCTGACAGTCGGGACCCTGAGGGTGTGGAAGGGGCTTCCACGGGAGGTGGTTGAGGCCCCATTGGTGAGGGTGTTCAAGGACAGGCTGGACATGCACATGGTGGGCATGTCGTGAGCGGAGCCAGCTGGAGCCGGGGGCAGACTAGATGACCCAGGAGACCCCTTCTGACTCGCTCTGTTTCTATGTTTCAGTTGCTGAAAGCATCCTGAACCTGATCTCCTATGAGAAGCATCGCAGAATCTCAACGGAGGGGGGGGCAGGATGCTGCTGATTTATTTATTTAAAAACACCTCTATCCCATCTTTATCTGAAACAGATCTCAAGACAGCTTAGTCCTCATTAAGTGGGTGGGCAGGCGGGTTTGGCTGCAACCTGCTATTACCATACTGCTGTTTCCCCTTCATTACAAGGGTTCCCTCTTAAAATAATTACAAAGGGCTGCTACAGTCCTTTAAATCTCCATCCTGCTACATGGGGAGGTTTATAAGCCTTTTTGCAAAGATCCATCCCTCCTCACTTGCTCTAGAGGGAAAACAAAATCAACAAAACCTACAGCAGTACATTAGCACCCCACGTGGTCCATGTGCTGTGGGAGGGAGTATATTCATCAGGGCATCCCTACAACATCTCCCCACATGGGGAAGGGGGAGCAAGCACCAGCATAAGGGTCCGAGTCTCTCTGCACCTGCACTTAGTGCTACACACTCAATGCTCCCAGAGCAGCTTAAAGTGCAACATTTTCCCTTCTGGGCCTTGCAGATCTCACCTCCTCCCCGACAGCCCTCCCAACCTGTTCCAGAAATTCTGCGGATTTGGGCCAACGCGGATAACAAACAAGAAGACAGCAGCACAGATCAGGCAGTGAATGGGAATCGAAGTCCCAAAGGAGAATTGGAAAGATTTCTGGCGGCAGGGGCCAGACTGAAGAAGCATGGGAGAGGCCTGGTCGACACAGGGCCGTTGCTGCATGGGTCTCCAACCTGGTGGGACTCAAAGGCACCTTTGGGGGATTGAGAAACTCTTGTAGGCATCTCCACAGAACGTGTGACTACCGAAACAGCTCTTCCACATCCACCTGTTACAGCTATGGACCCTGGACCCTGTCTTATTTATTTGATGTCTGCTGGACACCATAGTCTCGCTCCATTGTGATCATTACCTGACATCAAAACCTGCCCT